AAGGGTGAATCCAGTCCTGATAAAGGGGTTTCCGCAGGGTTTCCGTTCATGTTTGTTAAGCTTCTGGAGGGTGCATGTGTTAAAACCTATTGGATGGTTTTGGTAGGTTCCTCAAGGGTTTCGTGAGGGGTTTTCGTGGGATTTCGTGCAGTTTTTGAACTTTCCGGAGGTTTTCCTTGAATTTCTCTAAAGTTTTGTGAGGGTTTCCGCGGATGTCCGTGGGTTTTGTCAAGTTTTGCCTTGGTGTTTTGAAAGCTTTCAGATGGTTTCCCTGGGGTTTTCTAAGGTTTGCGGGGTTTCAGTGGGTTTTGTTAGATTTTGCGTAGGTTTTTGAAGCTCTCGGAAGGTTTTTCTAATGTCTTGTGAAGGTTACCCGTGGGTTTTCCATGGTTTTTGACAGCTTTGAAAGGGGTTTCCGTGGGTTTCTTAGGGCTGTGTGAGGGTTTCCGCGGGGTTTCTGTGGGTTTTCTTATATAGGTCGTGCGCAGGTCTTTAAAGCTTCCAGTGGAGCTTTGTGAGGGTTCCTGCAAAATCTCCGCGGGGTTTCGATTGGTTTTCTCATGCTTTGCGCGGCTTTGGAAAAAGATGTCAGAAGCTTCAGCGAGGGTTTCCATGAGCTTCCATGGCACCATGGATTTCCTCAGCGTTACTTCAAGCTTTGGAATTTGTCACATGATGCGGTCGGCGCTTGTCCAGATGCGGCAAGATGCAAGCGGCGCAGTGTGTCGTGCGGCTTTGCAGCGCTGCCAGGTGAGGTTGTGGAGGTGGATGCTGATGGCAGGGAGAATCAGAAGTGACGCGGCCAGGCAGCCAGGAGCCGCTGGGGCTAACCCAGCTGTATTTTTCCGCAGGAGTAGGTTTTCCATATGTGCTCCAGGTCTTTGCGCAGGAAATTGTTCCGAGGCCAGATTCTGGGTCCGCTTTTGTGTGCAAAAGTCACGTCCGCTTGTGCGTGGCCTCCCCGGCACTGCTAGAGATTGCAGCGCTTCTTAAACAGTCAAGACGCGCATGTGGCACCGAACGCGTAAAGTGCTAGACAAAGTGATTTTGGGCGCTTTTTCTTGAAACAATCAGCAGTGGCGGCCATTTCCAGCAGTTTTTTTTTGGTTTTTCAGCAATCTGACAGTTTGGAGTTAAGAATCTGCTTCATTGCGCAAAAATTTGAAAGCTTCGCAAAAAATAAACCAAGAACCTTCACGAAGGAGGGACTTCAGTTTTTAGGGAGCTTCACTTCTCTAACACGCTCGGACCCATAGCGCCGGAACCCTGAACACTTTGGTGTTTGGTTCGAGTGCGAAGCCGAAAAGAGACAGCTGCTTCTTTTCAGTCTTTGGGGAATTTGAGTTTTTTTTCTGACCAGACCTTCGTTTCTCCCGATGATTGGCTGGGTAACCTTTGCACACACTAACCCGAAGGGAAGCTGCGGAAAACACTTTCCTTGAAGATTTCCTGAACTTGGTGGTTCCACTTCCCGCCAATTCTCTTTGGTTTCACTTTGTCCGAGTCAAAACATTATTTTGCTTCTGAACTTTCCGCACCACCGAAAAACGTTTCATCGAGTTTACTCCGCTTCAGTTTCGAGGTTTCATGTCTCGGCTCGAAGCATGTGTTTCCTTGCATCAGGCCGCGGACGGCATTGGGTGGAATTTGAATCGTCATCATCGTAGGAGTGGTCGTTGTCGTGAAAGTAGTAGTGGCAATGGTGTTACTGTGGTAGACAGTAGCAGTGGCAGTAGCAATAGTAATAGCAGTGGAAGTACTGGAGCGGTAGTCGTCGTAGTTGCAGTCGCAGTCGCAGTCGTAGTCGCAGTCGCAGTCAACTAGCTAGCCCGGATCCCACAAAGTTGTTTTCAGGGTTTTGGGTGAGTTCTAGCGCCAGGATGCGCAAGTGCAGGACTGCAGGTGGCCTGGTGTTTGCGGCTCGGCGGAGCTGGCTGAGACTCCATGCTCGGAGCCTTCCGATTGACGCTATCTAGATACCTAAAGGCCATGCCTTTCGGTGGAAAGATGCGAGAGTTGTTGCCACATAGGATTGGGTCAGAGGTTGGTTTGCAAAGAACTAGGATTGCTCAACGGCCTACTTGGGTTTCTGAACGCAGATGCGCCTTGAATTCGGGTGCAACGCTGAGCGACGGACAGCAGCATGACTGCGTGTTGTCCACAGTGACCGTCAAGTCAACGTGCACGTCCCCTTGCGGCAGCTGAGTCCGGACGTGAGGTTCGGCGCTGCGCGGTGAGAAAGCGTCGCCGACGGCGAAAGCTGCCAAGATGAACATCGAGCACGCCCATGTCGTCGCTCAATGAAGACAACGAGTCACATGTCACTGTGTGAGGGGGGTTTGCAAAGTACAGCATTCTTCGCCCCATGCCTGTGACTGAAACCCTTTGCTTGGGGTCGGCGATCGGTCAGAGCTCGTTTTGCCCAGCAAAACGGGGAGATGTAGGAGTCCCTTGCGAGGACGGGCGCCGGATTGTGGCAGCACTCCGCTTAGGGCCGCTCTCTTCCACAGTGTCGGCATGACTGGTTCCACCCGAATTTATTGCGCAAAGCGTGCGTCGAGACGACTCCAACGAAAGACAGAGAAAGTCCTCGCTAGCGGCTAGCGTCTGTTAAATCCATCTCAGGGACACACGGGCAAGGAGGTGGTGGTGGTGAAGTTGTGGAGGTTCTGAATCATGCCGGTGTGAATGCGAAAAGTGTTTTTGGCATTGATCAGACTAGATTTTGTGAAGGTGTCTAATGGCGAAGTGTAAGCTGTCCTTCTATTGGGCAAAGACGTGTGCCAAAAAAACTGACTGGCGTTTGTCGCGTTCATCGTTTGAGAGCAGTTTGGGCCAGGGGCTTCGGTCCCGGAGGGGCCAACATGGTGTCTGGTTTGATGTGGTTTGGAAACGGCGTGGCCTCGCAAGATTCGCGGATCGCGTTTCGATACGGTGTCAACACGCAGGACTTCGGTGCTTCGACCGTTCCAATTACGGCGACCACCACGGCGAAAAGGTTGATGGTGAAGTTGCGCTCAAGACGCAGTGTTTCCGTGTGGCCCCGCAAACGGTGGTTGATCGCTTCTCTCAAAGCCTCGGGCTTCTTCCTCGCGACTCCTCGCAAGGGCCGCGAAGGTGGTGGTTGTGCCTCGAAGCGTGCTCAACACAGAGGTCTTACAATTAGGTGCCGCGACACGCCGTGCCAGTTTGCAACGTTCGCCAAAAAACACAACTCGCAATTGTGCGCAAGACTCTCCGCCTTGGAAGACAAAACTTCGAATCAATCAGAGGACAACAAAAGTACAGGAGTCAGAGAGGAGGGACAGCAGGAGAAAATATCCATTCCGTTGAGAAGGCCTTCGCAACACTCGGATACGTTTCGACTCGCTCGATGCAGCAGCATGTGCAGATGCCTCTTTCATGTGGTGGTGTCTGTTGTGGATGCACACAGTGGCGTGTCGAGAGCCGGTAGGGTGCTACCTCTTTACCGCTTCCTCCTTTAGCTTCTACTTCTGCAACGTCAAAACCAAGTGGCACTATCACAAGTCGACTGCAAGATTGGTTTCTCAAACATGTACGATGACGATGTCACAGTAAGTTCTGATACGCATGTTCACCCAAGATCTGCGTGTTTTTGCTTCTTGGTAGCTCATTTATTGCATGGTGTCAGTTTATATACATTGTGAAGCGTGTGCGTAGATCGTGTAATGCCATGGCACCAAAGAAGCGCGACTCCAGGCCGAAGTGTTGCGCAGTGCTGTGGTTCCGATTTTGGGCTTGTAGTGTTCGAAGGGCCCACTGCAAAACCATTCGTTTCGTCTGTCTCATACTTGTTTGCCATGTCTTGATGCAGCGATCTGGTGGTCAGATCGGCGCAGTCGGACGGTTCGAAACGGTCCGCTGTAGGCGCGATTCCCTCTTCCAAGCAAACGGCACTCGGCGCAGACACTGCAACAGCTACATGGTGGACCTTTGTGCATCGTGCAGAATCGCCATCCAAGAAGAAGTTCAAGTTCGGAGCATCCGCCAAGCGCTCATTTTCGTTCGATTTTCCAGATGAGTTTTGTTTGACATGTCTCGGTTCATTGCAAGGTCACGGGCACGATCGATCTCGATGAGGTTTCGCTCATTTCACGCAAGAAACGCATGCGGCCAACGTCTTTTTTTCTTCTGCTTTGCGAGCTGCAGGATGCCACTCCGAACCAGGTTGGCCAGCACAGAGGTTTAGGGAGTTGGGTTTAGGGTTTAGGGTTTAGGGTTTAGGGTTTAGGGTTCAGGGTTTAGGGTTTAGGGTTTAGGTTTAGGGATTAGGGTTTAGGGTGTCGCCATGTTTGGGGATGTTCGGGGCTGCACAGGCCAGAACAAGCTCCAGCGCTGGGGCAGCGACAAGGCGGTCATGCCACATCATCTCATGTCGTCTCCTGGTGTTCAGGGTGCCATGGGGTGACGTAGGAACTTGCTTGATTGCGATTTGGGTTGGAGGCCTACTTCCTCAAGCAAGGCTGCTAAGCCTGCACCGAAGGCACATCCGCAGCCTGATGTCGCTTTGTATGACTTGCTGCCGCGCCAGGCTGGCAAAGGAGGTGGCAAAGGAGGTGGCAAAGGAACCACGCCAAAACTCCCACAAGTCAACCGCGGCCTGTTTGCGCATGGTCCTTTCGAATGCCTGTTCAGCATGCCCATGACAATGTGATGGCTGAAAGCTTTCGGCCGGGGTCAGCGACAATCATGGATTTTCTGTACGTCGTTAGTCAAGAATTCGCTCGAAAAGCCCAGTTGCCGACGAAGCCAAACGTCATCGTAGAAAATATTAAAGACCTAGAACTGTCTGATACTAGAACGCATCCCGGAGTTTGTTTACATTCGGCGACAAAACGAAATGAGCTGTCAATAGAAATGCTTTGGAATTGTAGTTTGTAGGCAATGGCCCTGGCGCTTGCCGGTTCCTGCCTTGTCGACACACGCCAAACTCCGGTTGCTCAGAACTGCGAGAGGCGCTCAACGAACTCACGACAAGCATGGAGGAGTCGACGAGAAGAGTGGGTCAATGGAGCTGGTGGCCGGTAGTAGAGATTGCCGGCTGGGCTTCGGCCGGCCTGCTTATCCTCATCGCCGTCATCGTCGGAGTGGTGTTGGTCGTCCGACGGAGGCAGCAGTCCCAGGAGGCCCGAGCGGCACGTGCCTTGTTGGGTGTTTCTTCCAGGCCCGGCGGAGAGCTGACACCCAGCACTTCGGTGCCCAGTTGCGTCAGCAGTATGTCTGGAGATGCCATGGCTGCCTTGGAGATTAACCATCAGGGCAACATCCCATCCTTGGCCAAAAGTCCAAGTGTGCCATGCTGCGTCCGGTTCATGTATCCCATCTTCACACTCCTGTGCTGTGGGCTGTTTGTGCTTGCAGATCTTTTGGAGACAGCTCGGGTGAACGTGGACCTCCTGGTCTCCGGGGCACCGCATCACAGCGAGTGGGAGTGGTCAGGGACCATGGCCTCCCTGACGCTCCTGAAGGCTGCCCAGGATGCCTGGCGGGCCGATGCCCGGGCTACCTCCATCGTTCTCTTTTTCCTGAACGGGATCTGGCCGTTTCTCCAGACCGGCGTGCTGCTGCCGCCCGATGCAAACACAGCGAGTTGGAAACTGTTAATGCTTGCGTTTGATGCTCAGTGGATTCATTGAGTTCAGTTCCGAGGATTGTTTGGTTTCTGCCCGGTTGCTGTCTTCCTCCATCAACCCGAGGCGGGCCGAAAGAAACTCGCATCGAACAGTTTCGGTGTCCTCTCTTTTCGTCTCATCTTTTTCTTTTGTCGACGGCGACGTCTGGTCCAGATGCCTGCAGGACGTTTTCTGCGTTGCTTCGCGGCCTTTGGAAAATGCGGCGCCGGCCTCAGTGGAACTGCCAAAGTGCCAAAGTGCCAAAGTGCCAGGGGCCCTCTGTGCTTGACCGAGGTTTGTCGTTTCCATGGCTCGTCTCCATTTGGGCCGCACTTTGCCAACTGCAGTGGCGAGGTCAACAAGTCAGAGCCCGAGCATGGGCTAGGAGCGTTAGGAGCAGATCATAGCAGATCTGTGGGTCGAAGGGAGAGCAGACGGCCGAGCCAAGGTATCTGCTGACTTCAGTATGTTTCTGGCCAGCGCCTCAAAGAGAAACGTTGGACGGAGCGCGTTGGCACATGTTGGCACACTCCCTAGGAAAAGGGCTTCTTTCTCTTCCTCGGAGCTGCCATCCTGACCAACGTGTTGGGGTTTCTTGGCATCTTTCTGCGTGTGTCGCGAGATAGGTCACTCCGGCTGACCGCTAGGTACGCCGCCGATCACTACCACTATGTGTCGACAAGGATGGCGCTGTCGAGTTCGCCTTGGACCCGAAGCGAGAGCGGGTGCACCAGCATGGCAATCCGTTCGCAAGATGTTCTACTTGGCATTGCAAAGCAGGTACAGCCTGCCCCTCAAGGCATATTCCAAGTGGAGCCACTGGGCCGAGTTTCTTCAGCCGTCGTTCGTCGTGCAGAGTTGCGCTTGCACTGCATGGTTGTCAGTCGGCGCAACTTCATCTCATCATTCAGCAGCTCAGGGCACTGGCCCACGATTCTTTGTCCACTTGTTGCTGCCCTCGCCTCGAGCAGCTGTAGAAGCGTGGAGGGGCATGAGCCCTTGATTCTTCTTTTAATGTAATTACGCGTGAAGGTGGCCACAGCAGGGTCGGCCTACATCACTGCGCTACCCGACCGAAGCTTCTTTCAACACGAGAGAGACCGGATCCGCATGTTTCGTCAACTTTCCTGCTTTTTCCAGGTTCTCCGTTTCGCTCACAGGCCATGTGTTGGGTTCACTCATGTGTTTTGCAAAATCCCAGTTGTGGGAAGATTGGGCAGGTTCAAAGTCGCCTGCAGTGGTGAACGCAGAGGCAGAGGCGAAGGCCAGTTGATGCGAAACTTCCGACGGTGTGCAGAGTTGCGGAGTTCATTGCCGAGGTCCATTTGAAGTACATCAGGAGTTACAGCCTCCTCTCTTTCGGCTTGGAGGCTGCTTCTTGTTGTGGACTACGGACTGCACGCTGAACGGCCAAATCTCCCCAAATCTTAAGCGAACCCCAAAAGATCCAACCCGAAACAAGAGCACATCAGGCACAGTACCTTCGCACGCCCAGCGTGCGCACAGACGCACGCACGCACCCACCCGCGCACGCACGCACACTAACAGCTCCAATGCATTTCCCGGCCATCTGCCAGTTTCCGGACATCTCGGAAGCAGAGGCCTGCTCCAGGCCGCCGTCTGCGAAGCCAATGTGTAAACAGGTGTGTTTTTTTTTTGCCGTTGGTTCAGCGTTTTTCGGGTTCGTGTTCATGAGCTGATTGGTATGGTCGCATCTGGTTGTATGAGTTTAATTCATGGGGCGTTCCAGGCTCCGAACTTGGAGACTTGTAGACCTGTTGTGGTGAATGTTGGCAAATGGCGAGGCTGCTGCAGGCGACCTTCCTGATCACGTCCTTGATGGCACCCCTATTGCTGGCAGGCTCGTGTTTGTTTTCTTGGAGTCCTGACTTCTTTTTTGGTGTCTGGCAGCCAGATGGTCAGGTGTCTTGTGGTGCGAGCTTTGCCTGCACAAAGACTCGTCTCCACCTGCTCAAGTCTTTCTGCGGGATGCTCGATTCGGGTTGCTTTGTGCCGAGGCTTGGATTTTACCACTGCAGCCCAAGACGCAGAATGCTCTGCTCAAGTGCTCCAAGTCTGGTTAAAGCCCAATCATGTCGTTATTTTCCACATGCTCATGCTGCCCCGTGCCAGGTTTGGTTACGCCCTGGATGCCTGGGTGGCGCTTGACGTGCTCCTGTCGCAGAGACAAGTTTCGATCGCCACCGCCCTGTACCCACACCGACCGAGCTCTGCCCGATTTTGCAGGTGTTTGTGGCCGTTGTTGCCCTTGCCGCCTTGGACTTCGGAAAGATCACGACGTTCTGCTGGCACAGTTTCCCTCTTCATGTCTATTTTTTGCGGTCTTACTCGTCGCTGATGTTCTTCCAGGTACGCTGAACACGACGGTGCCATGCTGGAAGCATGTACATGGCTGGAGACGCCACTTGCTGAAAGACATCGTGTGCATACATGTGTGCGACCCAAGCACACCAGCAAAAGCGCCTCGTCCAAATGCGCAGGGAGCTTTCCCAAAAGTCGTGCCTTGGTGCCAATGTGAAGCTTGAGAAAGGCCGGATGCCCCTGAGACTGTGAGCGCCGGGTGCACCTTGTCCTTTGCGTTCGCAGATGTTCGCAGGCTTCGGTCTCCTTGCAGCTTCCGCCATTGCGCTCTTGATAGTGCCCAAGGCAGCTCTTGGCACACCTAGCCTAAGCATAGCCTAAGCTCCCAGAGTTGAGTTAAAAAGAAAGAGGTGGTTCTCCGAGCATGCAGCAAAGCCGCTCAGCAACGAGACGAGGCATCGCAGGGCACGTGGCACGAGTGTCCCAATGCGGTTTGTCTGGGGAAGAGTTGCCTCTGTCTGTGTGTCTGTGTGTGTGAGTACGTACGCAACCTGTTGTAGATTTCTTGTGCTGCACGCACAGTCTGTTGAAAAAGCTGGTGGCTGACCACCATGTTTACCTGGCGCAACGAAGCTATGACATGGCGGGAAGTGCTATTTTGGCCACCAGTGTGTACCTGCCGCGTGGCTCCTGTAGATTGCAACAGGCGCTATGCAGCATACGCTTCTAGGCTCAATACTCTCTACGACACATAATGATCGCAGCAGTTTGAGCACGGCATCTCGCACATTTGAGAACGAGCGTTCTCACTTGTACTTACGACGCCGACCTTGGCTTCCGACGAAAAAAACGACACAAAATTTGCATCGTCGACGTTGCATACATGCATGGATGCTGTTTGTGGCAGGAACACTTTCACATTGAACAACATGGTCGGCGCATGTTTCTCACTACTGCTGTTTCGCAGATCCCTCAAAAGACCGAGCTTCCACCTATGTCAGCAACACCCCTCCCTAACCCCATTGAAATTCATTCGATTGCTACGACAATCTATGTGTGTGGGGAAGTGGGCGTGTGTGTGGCCAGTCTCTTTATGTGCGGCGTGTTGTTCGCATACCATTGGATACAGTAGCATGGAAAGCAAAGTTGTCACCAGCTTTCAGTTACAATCGGCATGGGGCAAGGGCACTTTGATTAGACTTTTGCCAACTGCATCCAAAGACGCCTGGGTGTGTACCTGGAAGTGAATGTTTTGGGCATCTTGTAAACATTGTGCATGGTACATCATCGAAGTTGGTGGAGCATCTTTAGGTATGGAGCATTGTCGATGATGGTTGCACATGTGGATCACCCACAGCATGGATCTGGGCAGGATTCATGCTACGGACATTTCGAGCAAGAGTGATGTTATGGCACATTGAGCATGTAGTCCGTACATGATGGGCAATGAGGGTATGCAGCAAGGATTGAGCATGCAGTGTGTTCGCATGTGCACAGTCTCTGTGCAGACTTCAATGTGTCGGCATGTAGCACACTCATTGTAGGGCACGCAACTTCCCTACCAACGTTAATATACATCGAAGCGCTTCTTCCGCTACCTTGCGTCGTCTTCCTCAATAATAGTGCATCGTGACTGACTCTGGCACCCAACTTCCCATTAAGAGTGTGCGTATGTGTGCCTGCCCCCCACCTGGATGCCAGTTGATTGGCAGAGCCCGGGCGTCATCTGCCCTGGCCGCGGCTTCGCTGACAATTTAATTTAAGTAGCTCTTTGCCCACCAGCTGCATTGGAGGAGCGGTGTGGTGCCAATTGTTTCAATTTGCATCCCAAGCTTCGGGACAGCCAGCAGCAGCTGACTCTGAGCCGCGCAAGGCCATATGCTATTTGAGAAAGTTGCGGGATTTGCAATGCAGCGCCATGTAGCTCCATGTAGCCCCATGCACTTTAACTGTCAAGCTCCTCTGACACCAGAGGAGCACAGTGGCCACGGCCAGGTCAATGATGCCAAGCCAGGGCTGCCCTTGGAAGGTCTCTTTCCAGCACCTGCGTCGAAGCACCAGCAAGTCCGTGGTGTTTGGTACATGTGCGCAGCTCGAGGCATCACTATGGTCTTCACAGGAGAGATGGAGGCCATCGATCGCAAAGAAGCTGAGGAGAAGGCGAAGGCGGCTGGTGCCAAGGCGGAAGCTGTATAAATACGCGAACAGTAATACAAACTTGTTGCCTCTGCTGTGTAGTCTTGTCTCCTTCTCCGTGCCGTCTCTGTCAGGTAATGACTGGAGTGTCCGGAAATGTGCAGTACCTGGTGGTGGGGGCCTTATGCACGCAGATCAGCGTTCGCTGAGTCTGCCTCAGTTTAGGCCGGGTCCAGATTGGAAGACGGCCGCACGGTGGAAGAGACCGTGAAGTGCTATTCCGAATGTTTTCTGGGCCATGCTGGATGCATTGAACCCCAAAACCCTAAGTCCTAAACCCTAAACACCAAACCCTGATCCCTAAACCCTGATCCCTAAACCCTGGTTGCATTGAAAGTCAGGTACAGGAAGATGTTGGAGCTGAAGGAGAAAGGAAAGAAGCATCCCGAGGTGCTCACAGAGGCTTGTTCTGGGAATGTGGCGCTGAGGTTGAGGGTTTAGGGTTTAGGGTTTTAGGGTTTAGGGTTTTAGGGTTTTAGGGTTCTAGGGTTTGAGGGTTTTAGGGTTTAGGGTAGGCTCCCAGGTCATCTCAGCTAAGCCCAGGTGATCCCAGGTGTCCCTGCATGTGACAGGCGCAGTTCTTGGCCCTTCTGCCAGACGCATCCGTCTCCATGGCGTTGCCAAAGCAAGGAGCTTGCGAGATGAGACGGAAGCCTAACTGAACCCGACGCCCGTTCTGAGGTTCGAGGTTGTCGAATCGGCACCGGTTCCCAGTGCAGGCCTTGTGTAGTTCCGAATCGTTGTTGTGCACTCGGATCCTGACATGTGAGTTCGGAAGTTTGAAGTGCAGGCTCTGTCTGTCAAAACTGGGTCGACCGTTTCTCGCCGAAGTCCCTTGACCAGCTCGTGGGCAATGCCAGCGCTGTCAGGCCTGGCATGGGTTCACAGGACATAACGAGACCCCAACGTTAATGCTGGTAGCGGACGCAGCCGAAGAACGGCGAGGAAGCTGACGGAATGGCTTCGAGACTGGGATGATGCTCCTTCCTGAGCTCAGTGATGCAAAGGAGGGCCCCCCCCCTCCCCCCGCATTGTGGCAGAGTTTGCAGGTGGTGTTGAAAGGCCGGACCAAGAAGGCGCCTTTCAAGCCAGGCGGAGGCATGCCGGAGGCCCCGTGATCTAAAGGGGTTTTATACCCTTTGAGGACCTCGGAGCATCGTAGAGCCCTGGAGCCTCTGAATTTGTGCATGAGCAGAACATCAACGCGCGGGCGGCCCTGATCAGTGGCCCACCTGGCATTGGAAAGACCACGACCTGCCCGTTCCCCAGGTCTACCGGGATCATGATGCGTTGGTCGCTTGTGGTGAGTTGGGCCAATGACCGTGTGTTTAAGCTTGGCCATTGTGCCGGAAGCCCTGTGAAGACGATGAAAGACCTAAAGCTCATTAAAGAAGAGCGCGTCGTGTAAAGGTGCGCAGATCAGAGGCAGTGGGCCGTCAAACCCCGGAAGCTTCTGTGACAACGGGCTCGTGAGATCTCGTGAGGCTGTGAGGTCTGAAGATGTGCCATCTAAATCATGTGGCAACAGCTCCAAGTGTATGGGCTTCTGCCGGCATGAGGGTCCCGAGACTCTAGACATCCCAGAATTCTCAAGTTTCCAAAGGTTTCCCGAGCTCTGACCACGTCCTCTTCTTCTGTTGGCGCGTGCATTCGATGTTCAGAGAATGATACCCCCCTGTGCATCTTAGGCCGGCTTGTGGCCAGACTCCATGGCAACTACGAGGCTGTAGACCACGAGACCCAAACACCCGCAGAGGTCTGATTCGTGAGTGTTCAGGTCCTTGAATTCAATGCTTCAGATTCGCGCGGGCAGAAAATCATCCAGGCCACTTGAGCCTGTCTTATGGTTCTTTGTGTGCAGCATTGAGCAAAGACGCGCAAGCCACTTTGAGGACATGGCCTCTGGTATTGCCGACAATCGAACCCTCAGCTTCGGAGATGTGGGTGCCAAGAAGGTGTTCTGAGAATTCTGCGATTTTTTTTGGCTCTGCGGAATCAAGCTGGTGGCCTGAACAGGTGCCAGCATTGACCAAGAAGGCGATCATTATCATGGACGAGGTGACTCTGCGACACCTCTACTGCCTATGCTGCTTCTCCCAACGCCTCCTGACCAAGCCTTTGGCCACAAGGTTCCATCCCTCAATCGACCTTCGAACTGCGAGGTAGATGGCATGGGTGCCGGCGACCGGGGTGGCATGGCGGCTTTGGGCAGGACCGCTGGGCTGAATCATGCTGAACCCCTTGTTTTGGACTCAATGAGCCTCTGTGCCAAGCAGGATGATCAAGAAGACGCGGAATCCCATTATGTGCATCTGCAACGACTCGCACAGTCCGAAGGTGTGCTGGCCGCCCTCCGCACTGTTGCAGCGTGCTGTTCTTCGGTTGCGTAGCTTCAGGTCCGGTCTCTGGCGTCCGGAACTAAGCTGTTCCATTCATTGAGGATTCTTAAAGATGAACCATGTGCACATTCCTGCATGAAGGTTTAGCTGCTACGACTTGAAGTTTTCCAGGCAGTGGCTCGCGTTCAACCTGCCAGACGCGCAGCGTGCAGCATGGGCTTCGTGCCAGGCCGACAAAGAACACCGTCGCGCAGCGCTGCGCGCCTGGCTGAGACCTGAAAAGATGCCCAAACCGTAATTAAACCCTAAACCCTAAACCCAAAAACCCTAAACCCTAAAACCTAAACCCTCAAGGTTTCGGTCGGGCGCCTGGGCCCTGAAGCAGTTGGCACCAGCACAGGCCCTCTGCCAGTGAACCCAAGGCGAAGATCTCGGCCTCGACAGGTCTCCAGGCAGTCTGCAAGTGGACCTGGAGATGTTTGACTTGTTGATGTTTGTTAAAGAAGCCCCAAAGACCTTTCGGGGTCTGTTGGGGGGCATGCTGCGCAGGTGGAGGCGAATGCTTTAGAGGCCCTTGCGGAGTCGAATCCTCAGTGTGGTATGGCTTGAGCAGATTCCGAAGAGGGAATCAGGGAGGGAGTTTCGCCGTTTCAGGTCCTGTGGGAGTGACATGCGGATGGTGCCAGCCCGATTGTCATATGCATGTGTGGGACAAAGTGTTGCGAAACATGTCAACAAAGCAAGAGCCTTGTCCACCTCCGTGGCCGGGCTCAAGCTTCTGAATACATGCGCCGCCCCTTCCTGCTCCCTTGCGCCCCCAACCCACTTGCGTTGCACATTTGAGGATCCTTGGGGTATGGGAGGCCTGTGCAACCGGTCTTCTCATGATGCCGCAGGCTCTCCAATCTCTGTTGCCAGGCATCGTCGACCGCTTTTGGGCTGCAGATGGCTCGACAAAGGTGCCCTGGCCTGCATTGCAATTGCATGGCTAAACCGTGTTTCGTTTGCAGGTCGCCCACGGATGCCTGATGCATCTTCAGAACTGGTCGAGAGAGGAGCTGGGGGGTTTTTATGAAGTCCCTAGAGCAAGAAAGCGTGGAGCTTGGCTGGACGGGTGGCAGAAAAAATCCGAAAGCAGGAACCTAAAGGCTCCTCCGACATTGCAAAAGCCATCAGAAGCCTCCACTTGCCGCCTGCCACAGACGGGTGTTGGCCTGCCTGCTTTGTGCAAGTTAGCCCGGGGACTTGGTTCCCGGAAGGGTGTAGGGGAGCAAAACTTGAGGGCGCAGGGATTTTCCATTCTTATTTCCCATAGAGATAGTGTAGACCACCCAAGATACCCTCTACTTAAAATATTAGGCCGCGCATTGTATTGACCCCGGGGGGGGTTCGGGGGGGGGGAGGGCTGTAACAGCGCTCTCAAACGCCCTTAGAAACAAGGGTCGCGCTTGCTCACCCCAAGCCTAAACCCTCTGGCCAACCAAAAACTCTGTGGGTGTATGGTCTCGGCTTTTTGGGGTTAGGGTCCCTCCAAATACCCAACGTTTGAGTCAAGAACCCTGCCAAGCTCTGGTGAATCACGTAGGAGGTACCCCATTGGGTTTGGTTTGTTGGGTTTAAATAGCTCGCACCAGCGACCAAATGGCCTGCACCAGATGGTTTGGGCCGTTTTTGATGCGGTCTTTTCGCACAAAAAGAGGGTGGTTGAAGCAAATTGAGATGTTTATCCCGTACCCCGCGACCATGCACAAAAGAGGGTGGTTTAAGTAAAATGAGATGTTTATCCCTGCATGTGGGACTGCAAGCATTCCCTATGCACAGCTTGCGCCATGGCGTGAGCTAGTTGGTCGCAGGGGTGTATTTGTAACCCTTTTAGAGCCACGATTACGTTCCCAACACAGGATTTTTAGCTATTGGTTAGCTGAGCTGCCCGTTACTGCCACTGCTTAGAGATGACGTTGGTGCACGCTTTTCGCCTCCAAGCTAGCAGCTAGTTGCCAGTGAAATGAGCAGGATCTGCGACACGCGTTTGAGAACTTTCGATCCACCGGTGGGCACGCAGTAAATTGCAGGCGCGAGCTACTGGTACTCATGAAACGGCATCTGTACGAACTTGGCATGTGCATGAGGCAGTTTGGACATATTCTACGAATCAGCAACTTCGGACTGACGAAGGCAGCCTGCTTCGCGGCTTTAAAAACTTGAAGCTTGCACGTCTTGTTT